ATTATATTATTATTATATATATATATATATATATATATATATATATATTTTTTTATACTATGTTACATATATCTCTTACATTATAAGAAAAATAAAATTAATATTACAGTTTAATATTTTACGTTTAATGTTTTTTAGTTTTTTATTATTTGATTTGTAAGTTACATTTCAGTTCTGTTTCTCAGTTTCTCTTTGTTAATTACCGTAATTAAATATTGTTATAATTTTATACTTACAATTGGGAAATTTATTCACAAGTTTCATAACATTAAAAGTCTATATGTCTTAAAAAATCTATTATTCAATTAATTTATATTATTTCTGTGTATCACAGTATTTTAAATTACCAAAGAATGAGTTAAATAACAATTATTTCAATCTATAGGTCAATATTAATTAGTGGATATAAATTAAAATATTTTTTTTCCGAAGGAAAAGCTTTATTTTTTTAATTTTTTCTCCAATTTTATTTTTGTATCGATCTGTTTTTCCCTTCTCTTTATAAATTTATTTCGAAAACGATTTAATAATTAATTCGAATATATTCATATCAGAGTGATATTTCTAATATTTTAAAATAATCACAATTGGAATATTGTTTTTTCCTTTTACTTTGCATACCTTCAATAAGCTGGTCCAGCATAGCGTAAATATGAGAAGTCGCTTCGTCAGTCATAACCCAGCCTCCGGTGGTCATTTCCAGTCGACCATCCTTGACTAATCTTTTTACGACCATCTTCTTCGTCGGATGAGCACTGAAAATGAAATTGAAATTTATAACGAGAAATTCATTTACGAGGAAATAGACATGGATTTCCAAAAATAGAATCGGAATTCTTCAAAGATTCGATGAATAAAATATCTTTCAAGTCTAAATGATTAATTATAGTTAGCAAAAAAAAAAGAATGGAATATAGAAAAAGAATGTAACTTTTATTATTTTTAATATAAATTTTAAAAGTATAAAAATACAGATATTATGATTTAATTCTACCTTTAAAAAAAAAAACCAAGCTCTCTAATTCAACGATCATCGAACGGAAATGAAATTTATTTGCGGATAGAGCTGATTCGTGTATTGTGCAAATAATCATTCTCCAACGTAAATGATCAATTCCAGTTTGACTTGGATCAATGTCGAGTTTAATCATTCTCGCGTGACTTATCCTGACTCGCGCTTGTTTTATATTACCTATCACGCAATTCGGGTTGCAAATCATATTTATCGCCGCCGCCGTCGCATTTCAGCCGGCCAGGATTTACGTGATTTGTGCGTCCGAGTGTTATGTACGACCTACATATCCTTCCCTATTCGAAGGTGGTTTCCACATTACGTCGTTTATGTCGGCCATAAAGCCGCCACGGATTCCACCTGCTATACGTCTCCTCCCTCCCCCCTCTCTCTCTCTCTCCTCTCTCTCTCTCTCTC